AAAAAAAAAAAAGAATTTCGCATGCCGTTTCTCTTTCCCATATCGAAGACGGCTCGTTTCATTCGTCGTATCAAGATTCGGGTCAATGAATTCGTTATAATATGTATTATATTAACTCATCATCATAATTCATTCGCATAAGGTATTCGCGTAGGTGTTAATTGAGTGCCAAGGTCTTTCCCACGTTTCTATGACGTTTTGTAAATATATTAAATCATTTGATTAGATTAGATTAGATAATTTAATATATTTTTTTTATTTTTATATGTAACATATATATATCAAGAAATAATACAAAAATATTATTTTCAATAAATAAGAGGATAGATTGTGTTTATTCAAATATTTGGTTGTTCCATAAAAAAAAATGATTAGATTTTTTAATCGAATTGAAAATTTTTTCTCATGAGAGATATGGGTATTAGAAGATATAAGTTTTGTTTTTTTTCTAAATGAACACGATTTTTATTGACTCGAATAAATTCTTGTTGAAATAGTTTTATGAATCGAGACAACAACGATAGAAATAAATTCCACAGAGGATTAACCTTTTTTTTTTTTTTTTCTTCAACCCTAATCTCCATTTCTAATGAAATCTTCTTATCAATATTAAACAGAGAAACTACGTTTGATTAGATTCGTCTTTTCTTTTTTATTTCTTTTTAATTTTCTTTTTATGATGAATCAAAGAGAATTAGAAAAATAGGAATGTGTGATCTCACATGTTGGAATAAAATTTATTAAAGATTCTTTCTTTATCCCAATTTCTTTTTTTTTTTTATATATATATATATCTGATTTCTAATATCATCCCACGCGTCATGAAATGTGAATATTTAATCTAGAGATTCTCAATTTTGGTCGATAAAAAAAAAAAATAAAGAAAGAGAAAAGTGTGCGAAGAGAAGAAAAATTTAAGAATTTAAAAATAACGAACGCCACGATTAACTATTATTATTATTATTATTATTATTTTTGTTCGACGTTCTTTCCTATCTCGACTTCTAATTTCATTCCTTCGTATCAATTCGGAGAATAACACGTCTAAATTTATTTTTTTTTCGGTTGAAAAATATATAACACGAGATATCAGGTTTTTTTTTTTTTTTTTTTTTTTTTTTTTTTTTTTTTTTTTATCTTATGGGATTCCAACTTAGTCCCAATAAAAAAGCGAACTTTATGAGACTTCGTATTTAACTTTCTTCTCTCTAAAAGAATCAAAATGATAAAAAGATGCGATAGAAAGAGAGAGAGAGAGAGAAAAAAAACCGAAAAAGATAATAAAAACTAAACATAATATATAATAATATCTTTCCTTATCTCATGCAGATAAACAATGTTAAAGTGTTAGAATATTTTGGGATATCGGTAAGCGCCAAAACCGGATCTCGAAATGGTAGTAGCGTGCTCACCTGTAACGTGACCTTGAAAGGTTCTTGAAGTCGTTCTCGTTCGAGCAGGTAAGCTATGGCACTGGGCATCGCATCCACACCCTTTGCCTCCCTCGCACCAAGATACCAAACGTAGTACGAGCTCTTTTTGACATCCTTGCTACCCCTTAGACGTAGGGCCATTACTCGCACTGTTTTCACCGAAACCAAATAAGTAAACCAAAGGGGAGAGAAAAAAAAATAAGAAACAAATGTATCATAGGGAAATTGGATATTAAAAAAGAACTGGAACTTAGTTTTGATTAAATTGGACGTTTCGTACCTTTATTGGGACTTATTCAGCAACTGGAAATTTTATTTTTATTTTAATATTGTGAATTACGCACACATGAGACACATGCACTATAAAATATTAGATATTACCTTTGGTATACTTATATTACCTTGGATATTACTTAAGGTAATATCTAATATTTTATAATGTATGTGTCTCATGTGTGTAATTCACAATATTAAAATAAAATAAAATAAAATTTGCAGTTGCTGAAGAAGTTAAAACTAAGTTCTAATTCTTTTTAATGTTCAATTTCCCTATGATACATATTTATTAATAATTTTATTTTTGGCGACGATAGAAATAACTAATTAAAAAAGTAAAATATTTCTTCGTTCGTTTATTTAAAAAAAAAATTGCCCCTTTTCTTCGTTCTCCAATTCGAGATTAGAATCTTTTTTTTTCTTTTCCAAAGAATAATTCGACAAATAATTTCGATTAAAAAATTGTTGATCTAACGTTAACGATTAAATCATTTTTTAGGTTTTTCTTTTTCAATTATTTGTTCAATAATTTGTAAGAACTTAAATTGGATGCCTGACATTCCTGTCTAATCATTTTTCAATCATTTTTTTGTTTTTTTTTTTTTTGGAAATAAGTTAGTGTCTTAATAGTGATGTCTAAAATCGTATGCGATTAATTCTCTTGCTTGAAACAAATCCACACGTTTTAAATTCCCTAATACGAGTGAATCGGTAGTGTGATTTCATTGTAAAAAAAAAAAAAAAAGAAAAAAAAAATTGTATCGATCATCCGTAACGAATGACAATGCGATACGATTTGTGTTCGAAATTGGTTTGATTTTTCGATTGGTTGGTGGTAAAACGTTTAACAGTTAATTCGATTTTATTCGCTCCAGATAAAACGAACGGCGAATAGGACGGACGATCAAAATCATGAAGAAAAGAAGATAAAAAAAAAAAAAAAAGAAAAAGGGAAGAAAGGAAAGGAAAGAAAGAAAAAAAGTTAACACGGAGAAGAAAGAAGATTTTAGTAGAGAAAAATGATGCTTTTACCGGGTTTCAACACGGTGTTGCTGTTGCTGTTACCCGTCTAACATCTACCTTCCCTCTCTCTCTCTCTCTCTCTCTCTCTTTCTCTCTTTCTCTCTCTTTCAACTGCTTCCTCGATTACTTTCACGCTTAAACCCGTTTCCACGTTATCCATCTTGCGTTTGAATCGATTCTCACTATCAAGACACCTAAATTATTTCTTCAATACAATGATGAATACGAAATAAGAAATAAATAGAAGAATAAGAATAAGAAGAAGACAATTTTAATCTTGAAAGAAAAAAGGAATCAAAGATTCAATATTTAAAAATAAAATTAGGGTTTTATCGCTATCAACGAAAAACCGAAAACAAAAATCAACAAGTGTACGAAAGAAATATAAAAAAAAAGACTTGGTGGTGATTACAACGAATAGCATAGTCAAAGAAAGAAAAGAAAAGAAAAGAAAAGAAAAGAAAAAAAAAAGACTCGTCCTGATCGTCTTGTTAGCCTTCACCGAACACTTCGATCTAGACTCACCTTAATAAATGATCGTACAAATGCACCACCTTCTATTTCTCTCTCTCTCTCTCTTTCTCTCTTTTTTTCTCTGTCTGTCTGTCTCTCAGTGTTTTCTTGCACTCACAAAAACTTCTTAGTATATATATATATATATATATATAGGTAGAAATGAGATAGAAGATATAACAACTGGTCTGTTCGCGAATGCACTTCGCGAAAACCGTGTGTAAGGCCGTTCTTACGGTATAAGCGAGTCTAAACTAAACGTGAGCCACGGCGTCTGAGGTTTACGAGGTACGTACGAGCACCATCCTATGGTATGGGAGTAAAAAGAGAGAGAGAGAGAGAGAGAAAGAGAAAGAGAGAGAGAGAGAGAGAGAGACGGTGAACCACCGAGTGGGGAGAATCGAGCAAGTAAGAAAGACAGACAGAGACGGATAGAGAACTTTGAGAGTAGTCTCGTCTGACAGCTGCACACAGTTCTGACTACTTTTCCACGTTGAATTGGCAACTTGCTGTTGCTGCTGTTGTTGTTGTTACGAATAATCAACAATAGCCAATGCCATGGCAGTAATAATAAAAACAAAATAACCGACTCGTTGAAAAATCTCTTCGAAAATTGACTAAATCCGATTATTACAAATAATCGCGCACAATTTTACAAATGAAAATAAAGAAATTACGAGATTTTGTGATAATCCAAACTATATTATTCTTCTATTTATTTATTTTCTCTAAACACTCTTAAAATGTATATATATATATATATGTTTTTTCTTTTTCTTTTGTTCAATAAGGGCCAATTATTTGTACGAATTGTCAATACACCAAAGATGAGAGAAAACTATACCAACGCTTAACGTAAAACGCAGAACACGAAACACACGAGTCTCTCGACTGAAGAGCAACAGCAACAGCCACGGCAGTTTCCTCCTCTCCTTTCGGTACCTCACTGTTCAATCCTCCTCCTCCTCCTCCTCCTCCTCCTCCTGCTTCTCCTCCTTCTCCTCCTTCTACTTCTCTAACTCCTACCACTTTTCTCTTCTCTTCTCTTCTCTTTCTCTTGAGTTTGCCACACCTTCGGCCACGATCGGTTCGGTTCTTGATCGACGTCGTAGCAAATGCAAGAGAAAAAGAGATAGATAGATGGAAAGAGAAAGAGAAAGAGAAAAATCAAGAGAAAGAGAAAGAGAAAGAGACCGCGACCGGTCGAGTTCCAACCAGCACCTTCCGATGGATTCTGTCCTGAATTCGAATAGTCCGAAGCTCTCTCGCCTTTCCAGGTACCTTCTCTGTCTCTCTTCCTCCTCCTCTTCTTTCTTTCTTTCTTTCTTTCTTTATTTATTTATTTATTTATTTATTTATTTCATTGCATTCCCTCAGACCTCTTTCTTCTGATCAGAAAGAGATGAAAGAAGAGAGTCCTTCTTATTCCTTACGTTTTACTTCCCCCTCCCCCCCCCCTCCCAACCCCATCAGCACTCTAAAAAGAGAAAGAGAGAGAGGAAGAAAAAGTGATGTTGCACTTGTGTGTATCTTCTCTCCTTTTATTCGTTTATATCTTCCTCCCCACCCCCTTCTCTTAACCCAACTTCGAAAAAGAAAGAGAAAGAAAATCCTGATGTTCATCCTCCTCCTCCTCCTACTCCTCCTCCTCCATCTAGATTTTTCTCTCTTTCATTTATCCAATCCCCCTCACCCTGTTTTCTTGATCATCGGAAAGAGATAGAAGATACTACTGCAAGCAGAGTCTTCTTGCTGTTCCTCTTCTTCGTGTTCATCCATCCATCCATCCATCCATCCATCCATCCTTTTCTTTCTTACTCGTCACTATATTCCCCTCCCCCCACTCCATGAAAAAGACCCACTTGCTCTTCGTCATCCATCCTATTCCTTTTATCCCACTACTTCTCATCCTGTCCTTCTCTTTCTCATTCACCTCTTTCCCCTCGTTCAGATGGCTCAGCAAACCATGGTACATCTCCCTACCTGGTACCCTTCAACCTTCCTTCTTTCCCCATTACCACCACCACCACCACCATCTTCACCACCACCACCATCACCATTGCTACTATACTCCTAGCTTAGCAAGAGGACGTCGTTCGTTGTAAAGGCCTTCGCACACTGGATCCAATCGTTACTCTGACTGGTCCAACGAAAGTCAAGCTGAGAGAGTAGTGAGTGTGTCGAGCGTGTTACCGGATTGGCATTTAAACACCATTACTCTGTTGCCATAACCAAATGGCAGGCAGGCAGGCAGCCTTGTCTTTTAGTTTGATGCTTCTTACGGGTTAGCTCGCGAAACTAACCGAACTTTTCTGTCGTTATTATTGTTATTATTATTAATATAAAGGTATCTTAGGGAATTAGGACATCAAAAGAAATAGAACTTAATTTTGATAAGTTGGATGTTTCGTCCCTTTATTGGGATTTCTTCAGCAACTTAATCTATAAAGTTCAGCGTCTTTTTTCTCTTTAAACAGACATACATTTTTCTTTTTATTTATTATAATATTCAAAACACAATAGATCTACACTTCGTTAAATCTTAATCCGTTATATTTGATTATTATTATTATTATTTTCTTTTAGAATCCTAATGGACTTTTATGATAATGATGATGATGATGATGGTGTCAACGATGAGATATTATGATTAGAATTAAAATTGAATTTGATTTTCAATTAATTAACTTAGCGATGAATTAAGAATAATTGGCTGATAAATCAAATTAGGCTGATGTGCGAAAACCTTAAAACGAGCAGGTAGAGAAAATGTTTGGTATCAACGTAAGAATGGTCGAAGCAAACGATTCCCTCGGTGAACGCGGTTATCCTTGTCTCTCTCTTTCTTTCTCTTTCTTTCTTTCTTTCTCCCTCTTTTTGGAGAACTCTGTTGATCTTTTTTACTCTTCAGGCAAACCTTTCTTCGCCAGTCTCACTTCAACTCACTTCCCCCTTTAACCACCTTCTTACACTTCTCCCACCAGAATTTTCAGCGACAGGGACTGGGACTCACTCCCCTCCACCTACGCACACATATTGATACCACTCGACTCGGTTAACTCGACGCCAGGTGTATCTACCGGGTGTATTACCTGATATACGTGAAACACTCGTAACAATTCAACAAGCAGATATATTTTGTACTTGATCAGTTTTTTATTTCCCATTCCGTTTATTTTATTCGTGAATGAAGTTTCATTGATCTATTCGAAACAAAATTTCAATTATTGTACTGTTCATGGTATTAGTATAATAAATTTGTGATGTCTGATCAATACAGACCACTGTTACTATTTTCATTCATTTCATTCATTGGTTTTCATTTATTGTTTGACGAAGTCTGATCATATACGACACTTTTTACTTATTGTTCATTCTTTGTGATGTGTCTGATCAAAACTGATCATTACTACTTTCTTACACCATCGTTGAAATATTTTCTCGTTTTCAATAAACGATCATCATACATAATTCATGCGGCTAGCTGACGTTTTACTTATCTTTATTCTTTTTTGCCGTTTATAAAGATGACACTCTCCCATGATATTTCTTCATTTATCAAAGGTCAACATTCCATTCCTGTTAAGATTTTATTTTATTTTATTTTCGTCATTCATTCAGTCAAATTATTATAGTCACCCGTTGTATAAAGGATTATATCCACAAAAGCAGGTTGCATGGTGCACTGGTAGAAGAACGTACAACTTTTGCCGCCACAAAACGCGAATGCTAACCAGATGCGCTAAGTATCATTCGACAACGTTCAGGACTCGTACTTCGTAAGAATCCTATTTACTAATTTATTTCTTTCTCTCTCTTTCTATTTCTCTAACTCTCTCATTTCGTATACTTAGAAGAATAAACAATATGCGTTACACCATATAACATAGAAATTCGTGGGATAGTCATTAATCCATTCGTTCATTCGCTAATTATTCCGACAGATGCTTAAAAAAAAAAAGACATTGCAATTTGAACAATCCTATAATTGTTGTTGTTTTTTTCTTTTTTTTTTTAAATTGATATTACCCACGATCCATCTCGTATGTATTCCAAATATATACTTAATTAATTAACAAATGTATTATATATATATATAAAATTTGTATATTTAATACATAATATACCAGGAGAGGAGTCTAACAGGTTTGCATCTTTTTTTTATTACATCTTGTGATGATACGTTTTGAATAATAAAAAAGATTTCTAGAAAATAAGTCGCGAAGATTTTTTGTTATTTTTGTTAACATAAAGTACTTTATAATTAAGTCGGTATTTATCGTTGGTAATTATCATTTGAAAGAGATACATACGCAATAGGCCTTTGGTGCGTTATTTCTTTTTCTTTTTTTTTGACAAGGTAAGATAGAAACTTTAAAGTCTCGCAAAGAAAAAGAGAAAAAAAAGAAATAAAAAGGAAAAAAGAGGAGGGGGGAGGGTGGGGAAAAGTTTAACGAGGAAACATGTGTGCGGTGGTTCCTGAGTTGCCCTTGTGTGTATGTCAAAGGAAGTGGGAAACTAATCAAAGTAACGGTTCGTCCCGATTAGACAGCCAATACGGTCTGTAACTCATGGAAATGACTTTACGTAATTTCACGTAACGTTTTTGCAAACTCTAATCGCCGTGCAATGTCCCGAGAAAAGACAGGGAAAACAGGAAGAGCATGCGAAAGAGAAAATTACCCAAGCAAAAGGAAGAGATTTGTTTCGGAAACGTTTGTTGTTCAAGCTATTTAGATAGCTTCGGACAAACTCATGAAAAATAAATCCTCGTTTAGATCGTATCGTGTAAAAACTTTTTTACACTTTGTTAAAATACACTACAGTAAAAGTTTTCATATATTTTTCTTCTAATAATTTCTAATCGTTCACATCGATGACCAACAAATTCTATTTAACGAGTTAAACGGCTGACATTTCTTTTTCTTTTTGTAATTTTGATTATCAACCATTTCTTTTTCTTTTTTTTTAATTCTATCACCACTATCATCATCATCATCATCATTATTAATTAATCTTCATTTATAGAATACAGTAATATACGAATTGATACTGGTTCAGAACAGAAAGAGAGAGAGAGAGAGATTCCTTTCACGTGATTAAATGTCGAAGGAAATTTTTGTTCTTGCTTAGCTATATCGAAGAGGATGTAGAAAGTCGTGAGATGATGATGTAACGTTAAAACATAGACATTAATGCTCTCTATGGCATCCAAGTTCTACTCCTTATTCTCTCGATTCAGCAAACATATTATATGTAATATATATATGCTATAGTAATTCTCTAATGAAATAAAAAAAGCTTATTGGAACATATATATACATATATCTATCTAAGAAATGTTCAAAGGTGATCGGATTTATCGATGGTGTATGCGTGACTCTTACTTTCAAAGTCAACGTACTTGCCGTTGGTGTTTTGCGGCCGATAAGACTTTTCTTTTGTCGATTGCAAACCACAAAGTACGTACGTGAACCCCCATTCGCGATTGATCTCATATATACATATATCCATACGCGTTTCATGTTACCATTTTACTGTTAATAATACTTAATATTTGAAAATACGTGTATATATATATATATATATAATCATTTCTTATTTCGTGTTTGTTTTTTATAATAATTATAAATTTTCTTTCACAGATAAGTTCCATGAAACTTTATACCCAACGTGATAATTTGTTCATCTCGTGGAATAAGAAAAAATAATAATCAAGCCATTAATATAAGCCATAGGAAGATTGACTTTAATGGATTTAACTTTTATATGAGTATATATATACCTATAGGAGAGAGTATGATATTTATAGAATGACATTAGTCGACATGCTAATTAACTGGTTAAAAAAAATCATATTTTCTTTTATAATTATTGGTACCAGCAGAAAAAAAAAGAGAAAGAGAAAGAGAATAATTCCT